TTACCCTTACACATTCATTTCTGCTGAATTTCTGTACTTTTTAATTTTTAGTTGCATAAATTTTCAAAATGTTGCAACGCTTAAGAGAATGATGTACCTGCAATATTCAAGCTTCACATTCAATATTACAAAATACTTTTGCTACACTGTATAACAATTGCATGTATTAGTTGATATTAATTATTACCTATAAACTATAACATAAAATATACTGTTACCCTTACAAATACATTTCTGATGAATTTCTGTACTTTTCAATTTTTAGTTGTATAAATTTTCAAAGTGTTACAACGTCTAGGAATAAAAGAGTGTCCGCAATATTCATTGATGGAATGTTTGAAGAAACATTCAATGAGTCATTCGAATTCTGGTATTCGATTACTGGAAGATCGGCAACGATACGTTCCTTTCTGTGTGCACGTGATATCGCGGAAACAACAATGGCGCATTATGCGAGAGCGTGGTCCTTCGCTCGAATTTTTCGACGGTCTTCGTTTTCGCGGTGGCATCGTAGGCCATTAATCCTAGGTTTCGAGCGGTTATTATCTTCGTTGCCTTCTCTTATTTGCTTTGCTAATTCCCTGATGTAGATCCAGTAACGGTCGATATCGGCACGACTAAAACTTTGCTATATTTATTCATCCGAAAGCTTGGAACAATTCGTAACTTTCGTGGGAACGAGGAGTAAAAACGATGGAGTTAACGATGGCGGAAAAACGAGAGGTATGAAATCGATGCATCGATCACGGTTGCGATATCTGTCCATTGGAAAAGTGGAACGATCTTAATGAACGGAAATTCTTTCGCGCGAATTTCATACGTTTCCTCATCCCACGATGACAAAACGGTTTTGCAACCGTAAGATATGTCAGCGATTGGCTAATGAAAAAGAAACTGTTCCAGTTTAAATTATGTAACAGTATGTATAATATTCGAATAATCATGATGTGAATTGTAAAAATGAGAACACGGTGAGTAGCGCTTTATCGCAGGTTCTTTCAACAGGGGATGTAGCTCAGTGGTAGAGCGTTCGCTTTGCATGTGAAAGGCCCCGGGTTCGATCCCCGGCATCTCCAAATTTTTTTTTTCTTTCTTTTCGCGATATCATACTGTTCCTTCATCGATAACAATATTTTGTAATTATCAAGACTTTATTTTAGGTGTTCTCAGTTTATTTGAGCGGTGGAACATTACAGGTGAAAGGCCCTGGATTTCATTCCTGACAGCTTTAATACTTTCTTCTTTCTTTCTTTCATATTATACTTTTTCTTGATTGACAACAATATTTTATAATTATACAGATCTCAGTTTATTTTGTACGATACTAAAGACTTTACGGTTTAACTGAATCTTTATAAATGGTACAAGATTGATGTTTATTAATCTTGTGTACACTAAGAATGTGCTGCATAAAATTTCAAGTTCTTGTATTTTGTTAGATACAAAAACAATAAGTAATTAATAAATACTCTTACATTTTACATCTTCTGTTATAAATATATTTTATTAATTATATATATGTGCATGTATAACAGTACAGCTTCACCGATTCCAAAGATCTGTTCACTATTTGTATTACTTGTAACAGTTAAAGTATTACTAGTATTATTTGTAACAATTAATGTATTAATACTAGCATTATTTGTAACAGTCAAGCTATTACTATTTGCATTATTTGTAATAATTAACCTATTATTACTTGCATTATTTTTAACAATTAACCTACTACTGTTTGTATAATTTATAACAGTTAAGCTATTGCTATTTACAATATTTATAACAATTAACCTATTAGTACTTGTTAACCTATTACTGCTTGTATTATTTTTAACAATTAATCTATTACTGCCTGTATTATTTATAACAGCTAAGCAATTACTATTTACAATATTTGTAACAAGTAACCTATTTGCATAATTTTTAAAAATTAACCTATACTGCCTATTATTTTTAACAGTATTATTACAACAATTAACCTATCACTACTTGTATAACTTGCACCAGCAAAAAGCTACTTAAAAAAAAATTTAAAAGCTACTTCAAAAAAATTATGCAAGAAATATTTTTGCCCCATGAATCACAGGCCAGCGTCCAAGTTATTTTTTGTCCAGCTCACGATTCCATTCGGCGAATTTGTTCGGGGAGAAGCAACAAAACCGAATAGTTTGGGGCTTATTATATCCGCTAATAAGCGCAGTATATTGCGTCGATTATCCGCTAAGTATAGGGTCGAAAAGTGAGGGCTATCGGCACTGACCATTGCCCGATCGGCGCACGTCACCGCCATGCACACACTCGTAATTCATACGCTGGACTATAATAGCCAGCTTTCTACCCTAGCCCTATCTCTGATTCTCTTAGCCGGTATAAATCACAAAAATCACAAGCAAGTCTCCGCATATTCGGTTCTAATTTGTCTACAGTCGATGATGCCTGTCCCACGATTCGTTTAACACAGAATTCCGTCGTGGTCGTCTAGCTTAATTGAACTCGATCATCGAGTAATCGGCTGCTCAACTATTCGTCTTGTCTCCTCGCGTTACACGATTAAACGGGACTCAATTACGGTAGGCCTTCGTCTTCGGACTTTAAACGTCTTCGTGGTCTCCGGCGCAGAGACAGAACGGATAATTTTCTAATTATTCCCTGACAGATACAAACTCGAATCGATATAATGATCGCGGCGATAAGTGGGTTAAGATTATCGAGTAAATCCACGGCAATTCTGACGACGACCCTGACGACGGTCGGAACAGGTTTCCCGATGGAATCTCGCGAGTACGCATCCTTTGTACGTATGCGTTTACGCGAGGGAATGCGCCGAGATTATCGCGTCAATTAATGTTCGTGCGCGAGCGGTTCCATACGTGGACGCGAGCGCAAATTCCCAGGCAAGGAAGCCCTCGAATCAGAGGGCGAACCGAGAGAAAAATTGCGATGACAGGATTAATAACAGGGAAAATAGAAAAGCGTATAAATTTTCGCTCGCGTACACGACTCTCGACCACCGGGTTCTTTTGATCGCAGCCAAGGATATAAATACTCTTCGTGCGTGTAACTAGAGTAGATTTGACCGCGTCGAGGAGGCACAGCTGTCTCCGCTGTTTTCCTTTTTCTCTCCCTAATCGCCTAGATTACGCTCGATGCTGGTTCCTGCTGGGTCACGTGTTTTTCCTATGCCTTAATTGCTTCTAATTATAATACCTTTGCTATATATAATATACTACACTACTATAATAATTATCACTTCTCATTATAAAAAATAATAGCATTATAATGAGAATTGTTCTAATTATTATAGTATGTATAGTGTACACATATAAATTATATAATATTCATACTACACATACTGTAATAATTATAACACTTCTCATTATAAAATATAATAACACTATTATAATGAGAATTGCCCTAATTATTATAGTACAGTGTTTACATATATAAATATTATGTACTACATGGTTACGTCACTATGTAATATTCATACTGTACATGTTATAACAATATACGTTACATAACACATAACACTTATAATATATACACTATACATACTATAATAATTATAACACTTCTCATTATAAAATATGACACCATTATAATGAGAATTGTCCTAATTATTATAACATAGTGTTTACATATATAAATATTATGTACTATATGATTACGCCACTATATAATATTCATACTGTATTGTAATAATATACATTATATAGTACATAACACTTATAATACACCATACATACTATAATACTTATAATACTCCTCATTAGAAAAAAATCATTATAATGAGAAGTGTATAATTACAGTACGTACAGTGTATTACAAGTATTATGTACTAAACAATATATAATATTTTTATACATTTAATATACAATATTATATAGTAACTTTACATAGCAACACCTATACCCTCATTACAATAAGTTACAAAGATTCCAAATCAACTTTGACTATTCAAACATAACAAAAGCATGAAGGATTCACAAGAGTCGATTAGTTACATCTTTACACGCTCAACCGCGAGAATTTGTGAAGGGAACAGAAAATTTTCCTCGGTCCGCGCATTACCGTTGACGAGGATTCTTATGATAATAAGGGCAATGGGTTTGAGAAAGTCGAGCATGTACGGTGGCGAGAAAAGAGAAGAGAGAGGCGACCAGCTGACAATGGGACCAAAGAAAACGTCACGCTCGGCCGCGCTTCGGTAACCGAGGGTTACGCGTTCGCTTCTATTTACACCTGGCGAGTTTACGGGTCTACCTGCACCGATAGGGACACCCACGCGAGTTTCGTGCACCGATTATGCACGGAATTTCGTCGCGTTAATTTTCCCCCTGTTCCAAAATCCACCCGTTCACGTGGTTGTATCACAAAGCTTACAAAACTTTAAAGCTCAATCACATGTACAAAATATTCATACTTAAACAATAATGCAATTTTAAGCCCGGTAGACAATAGCATTCTATCTATACTTTATGACATTTATGTCCTAACTTTTGATACAACCACCTTAACGTTACACTTGTTCAATGAATTACATGGCGGAGATACGTAGACAATGTGAAATTCAATGCGATACCGCGAACTTCTAACCGAGTTACGCCGCTATGGTGCACACGCGACGGGATATAAATAAGCAGTCAGTGGGCCGAATGCAGGAAAAGTTCGACGTGGTTGGACCACGTTGCGGAAACGGGATATGATGCTTTCGCTTTTATCCTTCCATCGTTGCGTATCTCCTTGTCCCTTTTTTCAATGAGCCTTGATTTCAGTTTTCAAATTTTCCCGCGCGAATCCTTTCCGGGGTACACATGAAAAAGAATGAACAATGACACCAATTGTAAACAGATCAATTTGAAATAAATTGTAAATCAATTTTAAATAAATTGATAAATTTTAAAGAAATTATAAATAGAAAACTGTATACCAATTACAAATAGAATAGCACACATGGTTCTTCAGTTACGCCGCCATATTTGTTTCTGTAGAAAAACTAAACAAAATGCATCAGTATGTACCACTCTTTTCTGTATCGAGATAACCTAACCCCTTCGTGACGGAAAAATGTCACGTGTTTTTCTAGGATAAGTCTCGTGTGAAAATTTTCGAAAAGGGATTAACGTGGAATGTTAACGAGGCATTGCGAGGAGCGCACTCGAAGCACTCGAGTGTACGCTCGGTTCCCAACAATGAAGGAACTTCTTTGTTCGGGGGAAGACCGCGAACGTCTTCGCGGTTACCGCCAACTACGATCCATGACTACGACACAAAAGCCGACTGTAATCTGTTATCCTACTGTGACGATCGATTCGACGTTATTGCGGTTACTCTGCACAAAATCGAGCGCGACGTAGTCTGCCTTTACATTGCATTCTTCTCGCGAACGAGAAAGATAAGGCGAGAGAAATGTGTACCAGGCGCAACGATCTCGTTCGTTTATCGCCGCCGTATCGTGGAAATCGCGTTACGCGTTCGCGAGACACGTGAGAACGCGACTCGATTCCGCGTGTTTTGAAGCGCTTCGAAGTAAACCCTCGCGCCGGTGACACCATACGCATACAATATGCATAAGTCGTACTAGTTTGCGAACAGTCGCGTGCATCGTCGGATACAATAATCGCTCGCAACAACGACGGTAAACACAAACATTTGCATGTCGTTTCTTGACTCTGTTCGAATCGTTAAAACGCGTGAGCGATCTTGCAAGATGCGACCTTGGTAATACTGCATTCTTGTACCATGCTCAGTTCCAACTAACCTGCATTAAAACGTAAACAACTTTCCTTGGTGAGACAACTCTTTCCACTACCGCGAACCCGATAGTTACGTTGCTTCCCGGAAGCGCGACGAGATTAATAACGGGAGCAAAATATGAATGAACCGAATGAAAGGCGAGAATGCTTTAACAAGGCTATTTGATCGGCGAATGGCATTCTCGTAAAAGTATTTTAGAGCTTCGAAGAATGCAATCTTCGAAGAAACTAATCTCGTAAGGCGAAACCGATAACGATGTTATCGATAAATTTGACCGGCTGCAATCGCATTGACTTACCTTTGGTTTGTTACGGGAATCTCATGTTCTCCGGAAGTGTTCTCCGTGCAAGGAATACGCGGACGCTGTCACTTTCACTCAGGGACGAGTTCGCTCCATTGGTCGACGTATTTCCAGATCATCGTTGACGCTGACATCCACCGAGTGTCACATTTTGATCACGCACATTCTCAACTTAAATAACGCGTATCCGTACTTGGCGCGCGCCCGTCACGATTCGACACTCACGCACTCAACGCCGCGCACACTGTGAATGATCGCGCGGCGAAAATACGCCGGCCCAGCATTCTCGGTTGTCAGGTACACGAACCATAGCAACCAATCACGATACAGTCGCACGCTCTACCGGCCAATGGGATCGACGCGTCGCCACGCACGTGACACACTTACCGACAGTCAATCTGTCGGTACATTTCCAATTCAAAATTGTACCGCCAAAGTTCCCGTAACATTTTCCCTATCGATTTGTAAAAACTCGATATATCGATACGAACACACACAGTATTTATCACGATTCAAAAGATTTCTTCAAATTACCTAAATATTTATAAAATACTCTGTTCTTGTTTTTATCGTTTTATCATTCTGTTCGATCGAAAAGTGTTTTGAAATATTGAAGGTACGAATTACCATTCGGTGGTATGCATTCAAAGTGTTCGTTTATAATATTAAATTATTATAAGTGTATAAATGATATCTAAGTTTGAAAATGTGTAAATGATATCAAGTTTGTTCATACATAAACTGAGATTAATTGGAATGGTAACGATTTGAGACAAAGCGTGAGAATAGGAAATTGGAATTAGAACAGGAAGGAAGACGGGTTCTGCAGCTATCGGTAGATATATGATAAACGAAATCGAAGCATATAAGGTGGCGCGGTGGCATGCACTCCGTGGTAGAATTATGGTGCAAGCTGTAGGCCGCGCGTTGGATGTGCTCGTGCTGACCGCACTCCTGACGCTGTTGTTCGTCGATCAAGTAAGAACGACGACGAAGAACTGTTTTAATGATGCAGCCATCGTATACCGCTGCAGCATGCTATAGCCCTGTAGAATGTTAGCGCATATCTCGTGTACCAGTGTCTCCTTGTTCTATTCTGCTCGACTTGAGGCCGATCAATACATCGGTTTCACGCACGGTTCGTCCGTGTCTAGACAATGAACCTTTGTTCGTTGTGTTTCTCGTTCATGCGTAAGTCTTTACCACATCCACTTTTTTTCATGACAACTTGAACTGCTACGCTTTTCCTTGTACCAATGATACGTGACAAATTATCGTTGCACCGTACACGCTTCCTCGTGACAAAAACAATCCTTTCTAGTAAGATGATCTTCGGTGGCCACGAGATTATCGATGGAATTTTGGTGCAGCAAGTATCGTGGCATTCATTTATAGATTCTTGAATTTTTAAACATTTCTTTTTATTGATTTTTTTCAATTGACTCTTACAGGACATACTAAACAAAATGTCTAAACAGATTTGCATGCAACGCTTCATTGTACTGGATTCTATTTAAATTTTAACTAAGTCTAATTTTATAATTTTCATTTATTAATAATACCTTTTTATTGATTTTGTAGGTGTCTTCTAGGCTGTGCAATGGAGGGCATGTGTAAGTTTCAATTTCTTCTATGCTTCCTATGTTTACATATATTACACAAATATTAAATTAAAATAACTCAGGTAATTTCATTTTTTAGCTGCTCTCCTCCAAAACAGTGCTGTTCCTTTGGCTGTTGTTACGGTGTATTTCAACTTCACTCTGCCTCAGACATGTTTAATTTCCTATTTTGGACTTACTGGTACTTATGGTTAGTTGTTTAGCTTTTAGTATCGCAGATTTTGTGTAATAATGATTCAAGTTGTAATTTTTGTGCTGTTCAGGGTAGCGGTACTTATAGGATTGGCTATAGCGGCAGCATGTGGTTGCTGGCTGTGGAAACGCCATCGCTCTGTTATGGTAGAAGACTGTACTTCTTCCGACAGAGCTTCCACGGCTCCATGGTATCCACCTCCTCATTACAGCCGTTGTAGTTCCTTTGTTCAGGCTCTACCACCTCCTTACAGTGAGGTAAACATTCGTTATCTATGTAAGATTATGTTATTTGCACAAGTGTCTATGTTATATTAATATTCAGGTTACAGCCAAACCAGATCTATATCCATTAGTGATTGGCTACGACGAAGGATCTGGCAAAGGAACTTCAGGATTTGTGATGCGTTATTTCAGATCGCTCTCCCACGCGAGTACATTAGACTCCTTAAGTTCAAGTTTTATGTGTAGTATGGTAAACGAAGCAAATACCATAATTCCACCACCATATTCTTGTAATAACAGCGTGGATGAGCTATCTGCGGTAGAATGCGAAAGAATGGAAAACATGGATGTTGGATCTGTTGCGTCGTTGGCTAATCATAGGACTACATCTGACATATCGAGTTTAGCTGCTCAATCTCCGTGTTCGCCTCCAAGGGCAACTAGTCCAACAATAGAGGTAATCGGCTTCGTTGATCGATATTAAATCCACTATCAAACATATATTTCTTTAACGTCTAATGTTGTTTTATAGTTACGTGAACTTCTAGACAAGATACAACAGCTACCGCAGTTACCTAGTGGACATAGCACCGTTTTGCCTTGTTATCAGAATCGACCTCAAGTTTTGTCTACGTTGAACGCGAACGGCTCTACGCAACGGCCTTTAAGTCCAGGAGATGTCGGCTCTTATAAAGCCAGACGGACTCGTGGAAAGATGTACATGCCGTTAGGACTTCCAAGCTCAAAAAACAAAACGAAACGGTGGCTATCGCGATCGGCACCAACGACACCGTCAGGCACGATACCAATGTCGTTTTTACCCGGGCAAAGTAGACGACCTTCTGAAACGGGCAACAACCATCAGCAAGTGGTTCCATTACTTTCGGAACAAGACGAAACAGAGTGCAATAACGTAGATCAAATAAATGGCATTCCGTTGTTGTCCGAACAGGAAGAAGATCAGCAGCAAACATGACAAAACGACTAAGTGTATCTAACGATTAAGTATTAAGAAATCTATTCAGATATCGTCATCCCAAGTAATCTATATATTTTTTAATATGGCTGGTGAACTCCTCGTCGCAGTTTTTAAGCGAAGAGTAACCATGTATAAAGTTTGACAATTAATTTCGTCCAAAAACGTTGCCAGCGCTCTTAGAAGAAAGACACGTTTCAAACTACGACCTAACTTCTTTTGTTACATCAATAGCCGATGTCATAGTATCTGTTCTCTGTTCTAGCAGATCTTTTAAATTGAATCTGAGACAGAATAGGATGATATAATACTGTTTAAGTTTATGAAATAGCATACAGTTACAGGCAGATAATACAAACACAAAAAACACGTACACGAATTGTTACCATGATAGATCTGTAGACAGTATTTGAGCTCTGCTTGTCGAGATCACGATCCAAGAATGCAATTTTATACATCGAACGATTTAATTTTTGCCTAAACGGTAACTTTAATGAAACGTAAATCGTAAGAAAAATGAAGTTCTTAGCTGTTGCATCGATGAGTTTTAGTCGTACACAGTAATACAGTATCCATCCAAAAGCAGCCAGCCAGAAAGAAGTTAAGGACAATATACGGAGTAAAAGTAGCGCGAGTTTGAGTGTGAATGAAACATCGACTTAAATCTATCACGAATCAACGTACAATATCAATTTTGTTTAACGGTAGAGAAAACACGATTCATTGTGGAAAGAAACTTATCGCGAGCACAACGATTACAAAGTATTGACAATTTTATTTAAAACGGTGCGAGAGATACGTGACGAGGAAATTGATATAGGCGCCGAACAGATAGGAACAGAAACGACGAATCTGCCGTTTATAGGATTTAACGAGCATTTGTTACAACTAATCACAGACTTTATTCTTAAGAGCGTAATATGAAACCGTCATTTCAATTGTACCACTCATTCACATACACACCATGTATTAACATGTATTTTTTTATAAATCGGATAAAAAATAAATCCAAGCTTTTAAGAGATCGTTTCAACTGTTACCGTATTCCCGTTGTTACTATTTGAAAAACTATCTACCTTATTACAATAAAGATGTTTGAATTATCCTTACACTTTATTCACAATTTGTCCTTATCTGTTTACGTTTAACGAAAATACTGCTTGACTTTGTATTTCAAACGTGAAGCGATTGTAAAGCGCGGGAAATAATCGAGAATCGATATTTGAAAAACTCAAACAAGAAATATAACCTACAAATCAAACACTGTTTTAAAATGCGTTGTACTCGCGTTGAAGTTCGGTAGCGTAACATTCCCGGTTTGTAGAAAAAGCAAATAATGTCTGTAAGTATACAAAAATTAGTTACATAGGTTAAAACCTTTTTGATAAAAAATCAATAGAATGCTTTGACTGATACGTTTCATTTTACAGGCGACGAAACAGGTAAAGGTTTGTTATTCTAGCAACATAACCTTCGGATCCTTCAATCTCTTTGTTTCTTGCAGCAACAAAATGCTCATGGAGAGCCTAAAGAAAGGAAGAGGAAGGAAAGTATCCTTGATCTTTCCAAATATTTAGAGAAAAATATTAGAGTAAAATTTGCTGGTGGAAGGGAAGCTGCAGGAATTTTGAAAGGCTACGATCCTCTCCTTAACCTGGTACTGGATAACACTACCGAATACCTCAGAGGTAATTTGAAGCATACTCTTGTTATAATGATGTAATTGTTTATTACAATATTTACATTTACAGACCCCGATGATCCATACAAGCTAAATCAAGACACTCGTATGCTAGGCTTAGTCGTGTGCAGAGGTACATCTGTGGTACTCATCTGTCCGGTAGATGGAATGGAATCTATTCAGAATCCTTTCATACAGCAAGAAGGTTAAACTTGTCTAATAAATTAACCAGAAGTATAATTTTGTAAGGAACCTGATTTGTAAGTTGTAATGGTTGAAAAAATTTGTTATAACTAGAAGTAATTTATGTTATAAGCCACGTAATCTTACAGTAATGTGTAGTGAGTACACATGATTTTCTTATAAAAATATAAATGCAGGTTTGTCTTTTTTCTTAAATAAATAATTTTGCATGTTCACAACCTTCCTAAAATATAACATCTTATTCCAAACCGAATTCGTTTCTTAACCAAGGGTATTCTTTAGGACATTCGAAGCAAGTATGCAAATACCGATACGATTTCAGTACCCTACTCGGTAACTTACAAGTTGTTGGTAAATCACAAGCCACCTCAAACGGTTGTAATTGAGACACACCGCATTTCCAAGGCTTAAAGGTGTTGATTGCGTTTAAAGACGTTGGCTGACGCATCCATTCGATGACCTGATGGCTCGTTACGAAATAAACATCGCTCAGTCGAAGCACATCGTCCATGAATTTCTAACGGAAAACAACTACCATAGTTTAAGCTCCTACAAACGTTACTAAAATTACTTACATTAAATGCATAAAAATACATTGGCTCCCGAAACCAAGATGCATGGAAGTGCAACCCGAAAGGTGCCCGATTACTATGATAATGCCTTTTAAAATTTAGCATCAATATTCCGTACACGTCCTCAGCTGATAAATTAGAAGAGCAGGTATCCATTTTCGTGCAAACATAATCCTGACAAGAACAATGGTAATTCTATTGTTGAATCGTAAACAAAATTGCTTAACACTTGGCTCACTTACACCTGCCAAAAGTTGATTTATCGGAAGCTCCCAGAGGCCCGGGTAAGCTCGCGTTGGACAAAGCTGTTCCGGACCTACGCAATCGTGTGGAGGTTTGTGGTCCAAAGTATATGGCCAGATGGGAGGATCAGAAAACGGTGCCAGCATGGACGAATCGTAAACGAATCCGAATTCCGACATCATCAGGAACTGGCGATTCCAACCAACGCGTAGGAACGGTGCCCTTAAACCTAAATCATTCTAATTGGAAAATGTAGAACTTGTGCGTAGAAAGAAATTATGAAGCTTGCCTCGAATGTCCTTTAAACGAACTGCAGCGTATTCGTGAATGATATTCGCCATGCCAACCATCTCGTCGAACCAGTCCTCGATGGTGGCGTTCCTCGACCACCAATCCTCTGGACCTCGATGCCTGATCAATTAGAACAAATTAGATACACGCTCGGTGAAAATAAACGTATGTAACAGATATTCCGTTATACACATTTCCGTTTCTCTCTTTTTTTAACGCACCAGTTATTTGATACCATTCATTTTTTAAAGGAAACTCTTACGTGACGGAATGCGCCGCAATTTCATGTCCAACGTTCCACAAGTATTGCACGTCCCTGTAGTTGGTGTATTGGTGACTGACGTAGAATGTACCTCTTACTGGACAGCCATTCGGATTTTTCCTGTCGTTTGAAAATATTTCTGGAAGATTAAAAATAATAAGCGTTCTCTCCGGATAATTATATACGTAATTGAGAGTATTATATACATAGGCATTACTTGAAAAGAGTTCAAAATTTTCTGCGTTCACCGCATCGTCGAAAGTGATAGTTATCATCTGCGGCACCGTAGAGGCAGTTAGATTACCAGGAATTCGTGTCCCGTCCTGGGAGCACCAGCAGTTTGGCAGATGGCATTCCTTGGGATTACAAGTCAACGCACCGTTCGGGTCGTTTCGAAGATCTATAAATTAATTTATTTTTATCGAATTAAAATTACTCCCGTGGTTGAATGATCGGGTTAGAATAGATATGAACATTGAACTTGCAAGTATTTCTTACCGCACCAGCCTTCGTCGGAGCCGTCGGGACAATCCACGCTCCCGTCGCAGAAGTATGTAGCCGGGAAGCAGGTACCATCGCCGCAAGCCAAATGCTTCTCATCGCAATCGCCGTTCTCGAGAAGCGGTCTCGGTGCTTGCGTCTCTATAAAGCGCTTCAAAAAGGAGCATGGTAGAACATGGGTAGATTTATGGTTCTTCCGACAAGTAAAATTTTAATAAAATATTTACAGAATTTTCTGGTAAATTTTGACTTGAAGTAGCATACATTTTAGGAACAAGTAGGAGCTTTTACTTCCTGAAGATTGTCTATGACTTTAAATAAATTCCAAAAATTATAAAATATTGTGAACAATCACAGAATTGTCTTTTGTTAAATTTTGACTTGTTGGAAGTAGCATAAATTTTATAAACTAGTAGCTTTTACTTCCTGAAGATTGTCTATGACTTTTAATAAATTCTAAAAATTATAAAATATTCTGGACATTCACAGAATTGCCTTCTGTTAAATTTTGACTTGTTGGAAGTAGCATAAATTTTAGAAACAAGTAGTAGCTTTTCCTGAAGATTGTCTATAACTTTTAATAAATTCAAAAAATTATAAAATATTCTGAACATTCACAGAATTGTCTTTTCTTAAATTTTGACTTGTCAGAAGTAGCACAAATTTTAGAAACAAGTAGTAGCTTTTCCTGAAGATTGTCTACAGCTTTTAATAAATTCAAAAATATTCTGAACATTCACAGAATTCTTTTGCTAAATTTTGACTTGCCGGAAGTAACATAAATTTTAAAAACAAGCTTTTCCTGAAGATTACATTTAACAGTAATAATATGAGACAACTGGAGCATGTAATAGCATAGACTGAGACCCATTCACCGTTGCACCTCTTCAAGAAATAAATCATGTACCTGAAGTCACGTCGCAGTTATCGACATTAGCTTTGAAGTCGCATATCTGTCTAGAAACGTCGAACAAAAGTCCCTGCGAGCACCTGAACTCGAACACCTCGTTGTCTACAGAAAAAAGGGTCATTTTACGAATGCACATTGAAGAGGATAATACAACAGTAATCACCTAAGCATAAGTAGTACTTGGCACATTCCGGTGGAGACCAAACGTTGTGTGCCGGTGTATTGGGATTCCGATAAAATTTACTGTGGTCGATACACGGCGCTCCTTCCGGTTTCTCTTTCCCTTCTAACGTGCTCGCTGAAATACGCATATAAACAAAAATTGAATCCTCGAGTTTCTGCCAAAACTATCTTTATCCCGACTTCGAAACACTTCAAACAAATATATCATACTCTCGTATTGTTTTGATATTTAAAAGATTTACGACCTAAGTTTCGGTTCTCGAAAATAGGATCGAACTTTCACACTATCAAAATAATGCTACAGTTCCTGGAGAAATCTTGTTTACATTTTCACTTCATTGCAAAAAAAAATGGGAGAAATTTTCAGCACTCTTCAAAATTTTTTGTGAACACAATTTGGGGTCCGAGCGACTTACAGAGGTTTACGTACTAACTATAGTTTGTTAAGGGTCTTTTAACGCGTTGAAACTCACCGGGAAAGAGGAACGCGAAGAGAAACAACGAACGCAACTTCGAACTCATGTCAATTGACCAGTAAAACGTTTCTCGTTCTTCCTACAAGAGCTCGCACTTTCCAACTGACACCTCCCTCCAGAACCGAGCCATGTACGAGTATTCGCTTCACCCGTTCATCTTCCGCGTCGCTTATTTTCACCGAGCGATCAGGAAAATGTGGAGCAGCGATCACGCGGTGAAAAATCGATAAGTTTCATTTCCTCGTTGCTAACGATCCACCTTGAGATCTTAACGGCGTCAATTTCGAAATCCTACTCATTTTACATCTAATTCTGTAAGTTCCACTTTCCCTTGTTGTATCCCTGAAGATTAACAAGTTTACGATTGAACATGAGATTGATGGAACGTTTGCTCTGACAAGAAGAAAGTTTCCCCTTACATCGTATCCGAATCTTCCACGAAGATGTCGGCAAGATGTTTCGCTTCTTCGAGCCAAACTAACGATGATGCAACCACGTAAAATTGGTATTTTACAATAGACACATGCTTGTTTCTAAACCATTCCGTTCATGAGTAATGCGCGTGCATTGGAGATTTAGAAGGTCAGTGTTGCAAATTGTAAGACGTTAGAATCGTCTTAATTTGTTCCAGATGACGGTAGGCTGGCGCAAGATATATTTAAAATATTCTGTTGCTTTCAATGTATGTTTTTGAATATTATTTTTGTTTGCTTTCTTGACATTAATGAGATAGGATTTCTATCAAGGACTACGCTTGTCAACGACTCTAATTAACGGTCATCGATGAAGGATTTATCCTATGTACTGTTACTTTTGCAATTCTTCTGTAATTATTTTCTAGGCTACTGGCCAAGGATGCAGGTCATTAAAATTTCATCGCTGAAAAATAGTTTTGGTTAGGAAGAAATATTTACATTATAATATAAATTTATTCATTGACATACCAAGAACGATTCTATAATATCTTAACCTATAGCGATCCTCCTAGAATGCTTACTAAAAATTTAATTACAGTTTTAGTAATGCAAGAAATGTAATTGAGAAAGAAATATAAAAAGAAAATAATCTATGAATGTTCTATTGTCTTCTACGCATTAAGAATAACCTCTGCTATAAATTTATTAAGAAGACTGAAGAGTTGGAAGTTTCCAAAAAATTTAAAGGTTAGAAAGGTCCTGCGTCTCCTTCCGCCTCCTAATTCCTTACTTTGCTAATTATACGCTTGCAACAAGTCCTCTTAATTACAGTTGTCATAATGTAGACATCTTAATTCCTACATAACGTTCACCCTCCTGGATAAACAGCATTCCTACCGTGACGTATGCACGCATATGTCATTTGCAGTTGGGCGATGAAAGCCGGCGAAAGCGAATTACTTTCGGTGCTTTCAAGCGAGTTCGGTGACTGTGTCATGGTGACACCGGCACACCACCTGAGGCAGACCCCTTCCCCGTGTGCACCGTGTCCTTCTCTTAGGGGGGGTACTCTAAACTTAGATGCGACTCGAGGAGACTCGATTCGAGTTCAGTGTAAAACCACCATCCTCTCGAGCCACTTTCTTTTTCTCTTTCTCGCGGTTTTGCGGTTATCCCTTCTCGTCAACATTTTCAATAACGAGACGCGTAAACGTTCCGCTCTGATCGTCTTCGATAGCGAAGCCTGTTCATCGGATAGTCGCTGAAAGAAAAGTAACGCGGTAGAAAAAATTATAACAGAAACAGGGGGTTGACAGAAAAATACCTCGGAGGATGGCGTACAGCTGGAACAATCGAGTCGATTTCATTGTACGGTTTCTTTACGGTTAGTACATGGCAAGTACACGTGTGACTTTGTTTTCTTTTGAGAATCCATGTTATTACCTGTGCATGTACTCCCGTGGAAATTTATGGAAAATGCAGCATCGAGAAGAGAGTTTGTTTCTTTATCAGAATATGCACGTGTTAGAGTCGTTAAAAAATAGCTACAAGGGACAAAATAAGGTTCGTTCTTTTGGCTTCGAGGGTGTCACTTGTTTAGGATTTAGGTTGACTTCAAAGTATACCACGCTGTCGTCGTAACGTCTGCAATTGGCCGATGCCAAATTTAAGCTTGGCTCTAATTTGTTTTACGGAACATTCTACCCGGCCTTTTGCACGAACAATAACATTTATAACTTACCTCGTGGCAAAATTAAGGTTATTCGATAACCTACGATTCCAACGAAAGTCTCCGAAAATACGAGACCGATGGATTTGAAATTTGACAGAAATCGATATCGCCGCACCGACGGAATCGATGATTCGATAATCGAATCGATTCTTGGCATCGATAAAATTGCACGATATCGATGCGAAATATGTTTTCTATTAAATCGAACTGGTGTTCGAATCTTGGACTTAACGACAATTTCGACATCTCTGCCAGAAAGTGAAATATTTGGAGCCTGTCCAGACGTACAATGACAAAAATTTCTTTAGACACAAATTGGCACCGACCGATCGATTAATTGGCTGACTTACACGCATTGGCTTTTATGTTTTGTAAATACGAAATCGAACTAACAACGGTGTTTACCGATCTAGACACGGATAATAATGGTATACTGGAGAAGCACGATTTCGAATGTATGGCGCTAAAGATGACTCTGATCGAGGGTAAAGGAGAGTTCAGTTACGGTCGATATCAGGAAAATCTTCATATCATGCTTTCTTTATGGGAAGAAATTGCAGAGCTCGCGGACTTCAACAAGGTAAAATCAACCAAATACATTTATATACGTTCGTTATCACTCATTATGTTTTTTATGTAGGATGGTATTGTAACTATCGAGGAATTTAAAGAAGCAGTGCAGAAAAGTTGCGTCGGACGAGAGTACCAAGATTTCCCACAAGCGATGAAAATGTTTATCGATAGTCATTTCAAAATAGTAGATTTAAACGGTACGAAACACTCGTACTCATGTCTCATAACAAAGTAATGCATCGTTGAATCTTTCAGACGATGGTGTAATCGCTGCCGACGAATTTCGTTATAACTGCGTAACAAGGATTCCAGTGGACAACGTAAACATTTTAGACGAAGCCTACCAGAATCTTCTCAATGTAAGCTCGCGTCTCGAATAATTTAAAGGCCGTGTAATCGGATTTGCGATGCAAGCTTTATATATAGAACTTGACCTAGCAAATTTTTCTTAAAAATATAAAATTACTCAAATGCGTTTCTAATTGTGTGCTCTTAATATTAGTGATAGAAAAAATCTCGAATGCAATAAAACTACTCTAAGCTCGACGTAAAGAACAATAGTTTGACAACGTGCCAAGCTTGGTTATATCGCACGTCCAATAGTTGGCGAAAGAACGTATTAGCAACTGAAAATGTTTATAGATCAAACTAGCATTTCAACAACTGACAATTTACAGCTTTGCATTTTCATTTAATCGCTTATTTCTAGGACGACGACAGGAGGCGCGGAGGACTGACTCTATCTCGTTATCAAGAATTATACGCTGAATTCCTTGGAAATCCGGACGAAAATTGTGCGGCAGTGCACCTCTTCGGCCCCCTGCACGTTATGGGTTAATTGTTCGGAGATCACTGTGATCCGCGTACACGTACAAAAGACAACTATACTGTATTTAATATAACTGTTATTTAATTACGTAAGGACATGATGCAATAAATCCTATATTTTATCGTAATGGTTATCATTTTTTGTTTGAATCAGTACGTGTACGTGTATGCTTGGCATGTTGTGCCACTACAACCCTCACACTTTTGTTACCCTCAGATCATAAATAACGACGTTGAAAGATACACGAGACATTTGTATTGTATAAACAGAAAAAAGTTTATTTGTATTAAGTGTTAACGCGTTCTCACGTTACTCAGACATCTCTTTGGTAGTATTCTGTTCATTATACGAATTTAATACTGAAATTGCTGCAGTGATATGTAATCTGTTGAACACGATTAAACTCGGGCATAATTGTACATACTAATCGCCAAATTTAATCACCTCTTATTTTTATTTAACGTTCACAATGTACTTCTTTCTGCCATTTACACATATAGAACACACTTGTAGTCTCTCAAATACTAAACTCGTGATATCGTGTAACGAGATATTTGACAAGATTTACAAACATCGATTAATACATGCGAGTTCCGTTTTCACCTGTACGCGCAGCGTAATGTCACAACAACAACTGCAAATGTACTGTTTCAGAATTATTTTTACTAGCGAGGTTCTTTGCATTACGTACTCTTTTTGTCAGTATAAAAATTCTTTTTTCGTATACAAATAATTTTATAAAACGTATGAATTTGAATTCGCGACATGAAACACTCGTGTCTACAGAGAAGTTTTGATACGAAGGATTCGTACGATTGCTGTTCTCCGTTTAACTTCGTACAAAACAGAAAAAGAATACTGGTCAAATTAAACGTAATTAAATACAATTAAATACAATGTCGCTTGCAAGATATTTTATCGCGACTAAGCATGCGGCAGGAAATTAAGCGTTCACACGTCCACATTATTCAATTAGGCTAACGACTCTATCTTTTTCCTGGTTTATAAGCAGACAATATCAAAACGGAAATTTTTAAAAAGATAATACTCTGGTATTTAGTAAAACTAAGTTGCACATATACCAGTTAACATAAAACAAATAAAACAAAAATTGTTTACAAAAATGATGACGCTACTTTCGAAGATTGCTAACATTGTACTTATACTGTAACTAACCAGATTCTGGAATATTACGCCATTGATACAAATAAAATGCAAGGTAGAAACACGTATTCCGATACTAATGCCATGGATTATCGACTGAAAACATTCTTACGTTGAAAATTATACGTGTATATACATCTTGTACAACATAAATACAAATTTGTTCTTATTTAATGTCTTATCTCGACTAAGGACGGTTAATATTCTTGTTGAGTAAAATTTCACGTTCTCGTTGTACAAAAAATTTTAAAACAAATCAATTTTTCTGACCATATAAATAGAAATCGTAACCGTATTGTACCGCCAAGAAACCCTTTCTGTTAATTATGTGACATTTATATCGGAAACTTTTCCAGCGATAAAAAAATGCATGAGCGTGAAAGCACGAAGCACGTTTACGCATTTTTCACTGAAAAAGGTATCAGAGAACTAAGTGACGTTAAGACTAAATTATATGCTGTACGATTACTCGCACCACCTTACTGCAAATACATAATAAAGCTCCAGCAATAGAGTAATGTTAAATTAAAAAATATTCTTTCACAATTAAATATCTTAAATGTAATGCAACCTTATGACGTGAATAATAATAATCATGTTTGAAGATTTTTGCTTCCTAATTACAAAGAAAAATACCACGTATGAACTTCATAGTTCAGATTTGTATAATTCTTTAGACCAGCATTCAACCTATTCGTTCTTTTGAAAAGAATAATCATAGTAAAAATAGTTAAGTATCATATTAAGCAGATCATCTTCAGTCTCTCTAAATACAAAATTGCATGAATTAATTCGGATGATTAATGCTAAACAATTACTCGATGATCTGATGGATCTATGGAGTTCATACTGGCGTAGGAAGTGGTTGGGAATTGATTGTTGTCATTTTCGAGCAAAGGTGTGTCAGGCCCCAGTACCTGACCCCTAAATTCGTGTTCAGCCCCGCTGGCACATTGACGGGCTCTTCCACGCCCTCGGCGCGACATCACGCCTGTAATAATAAAAAATTCCATTCAATTTACGCTTTTACTATAACTACTACATAATGAATTTCAAAAATATATACACAACTTACAGTATAAATTATAGTACGTGCTCGAGGAAAAATAAAAATAATGTTAAAAAAAGGAGAAAGATATGAGTGCTGTTCACCAGTGGTAGTCCATCCTTTCCATATCCCCTTTTTTAACTCTAGCGGTGCGGTAATATAATCGAAGAGAGAATAGAAATATTCACCATACGCGTTTACACAACGTAGCATTTTATAACAGTGCTTGATTATACTAGCTAACCACAAGAGCACATATAGAAACAAAAAAAAACACAAAAGCAACTAATACACCAATAACAAAAGGATGACAGAAAATAAGGATAAATTTTTAAATAAAAAGCGTGTGTTTATGAAAGCACATATTCTATCCCACACTCATCAGCGTACACAGGTTTTCTGTACATATAAATTTCACTTGTGGAAAGATAGACCGACAGGATACAGAGCTCAGAATACTTATAATTTATAAGTAACTGTACCTGCGTTTGCAAGTGCAACATAAAGAACATTTATATTTACGATTTGAAGTACTTGTTTCGTTTAAAGGTTTTTTCTTCATCAACCAATTGAAAGCAATTCGTCGTAAGCTGGGTGTCGAGTATCGAGAAGCCGAGAGAGTAGAGGCGTTGTCACGGGACAAGAAACAGTGTAAAAAATGTAAGTGTACCTGCGTACCTATCTTTCGTATTCGAGCGGTCTGAAGGTAGGTGTGCTTGTGGTGGGTGTGGGAGGAGAATTGAGTTTGCTTACACGATGATTCAAGGAAGTCTCCTGCACGTTGTCCAGATTTCCTTGCATAGCTCTCTTGTGATTCGCCAGCTTTTCTCTGTTCATTGGTGTGCCTAGAACCACCAGAAGCAACGAAGAAGCTCGCTTAATGCGTTATTGTAACTTTACCTTATTTAACTCCTTTCAAGAGCAAATTACTACAAGTTAAATTTATGAACATCGATACGAAAAGAGACAAAATTATACGTAAAGCGAGTAGTTATTTTGTATATTGCACTGTTCTTGTATTGTACGTCACAAGACAGGGATATGAAAACTGTATCGAGCAATGTTTGCTCAAGCGACACTGGTGTGATGAATGTTGATGAAACAATATGATCTGAATGCAAATTAAGTTTCAAAATCACAGGACAAGTATCTTACCAATATAACTGAGTAATACGGGCAAAAATATTAAACCGTGAGCAGCTCCGAATAATACGATACCCAAATACATTCTGAAGTAGAACACCTGCAAACGTTCAATAAAAAATTTATAATCCATAATAAGCAGTATGGTAGTAGTATCAATGACTTAATCATAAAAACGAACCTTAAAGATTTGACTCTTAGCAAATCCGAGTACGACGATTCCACCGAACTTCGTAAGAGTGATACCACTGAAAATAGAGCTTCCCATATTTGTCAATGCATCGGCAACCCTTTCGACTCTGGTAGGTTTCACCGACACCGAGAAGGAATGTACTAAGTGACTACAGAACTCGACAGCGATTCCCACGGCCTGAAGTAGATTAATAATATAATAAAAATTTAAGTTTTAATATTTGAGCCTTAGTATACTTACCATGACAAGATTCACTAGGGACACAGCGTTTAGGGTGATGTGCCACCAATACATTAAACCACCAATGTTGACAACGATCATCGTGATCGTTATAACGACGACGACAGAAGAGAATATGTCCAGGCCCATCAAGAGGAACGTCACAACGAAAATGGCGACCAAAGATATTCCTATGCTGTACAACGTGTCGGGCCACATTGTTAAGTACTGTTCGTAGAAGACGTAAAACACACTGTACGGGAAAACTTCAACTGTTGAGGTGCTACCGATACTCTTCAAGTTACTGTTGATCATGTCAGTTATATTTGCTGAGACAGCTCTTGCAGCTCTCATCGATTCGTAGTAATCGGCGGACGACTTCAGAATAGTGTGATAGGACGAGAAATATGATGCTCCAACATTTGATAGTCCTGTCGCCGGATTAGTGAGGTAATTAACGCCGTGACCGTATGCAGCATGACCCCCTTTAGCGCAAGTATCGTCAGGATTATCTTGTAAGAAGAATGACACGTATTTGTCGAAGTCGATTGGTACTGGTCGACCGAATTTATTCGTGGAGATATTACACGTGGCACACTGTTTGGCAGGTCCTGGAAAGACGAATGTTAGTTCACTTCATAAATCATTTTAGTTTAAAAATTTAATTCAGTACCTGTGTGTGGACAGAAAGAACTATTTGAGACGAAGTATTTACAACAAGTAGATAGTTGAGTCCAATCGATATAATCGTCCAACCAGGAGGAGGCCGGCTTCGCTATGTACGTCCTAAATAAATGATGGTGTTAAACGCTTACTGCAAGATTTAACACAATTAACAGCTATTGACTGTGCCTTACATGTTCGACTGCTTAGAAGCTATGAATATTTGAGTAGATACCGAGTCGCTGTTACAATACTGCCCACCACACACTAGATTTTGTTGCCTCGTGTCAGAATAATTTAGACCCTCTTTTACAACAAAATACATTGGTGGGCCGATAGACAAATAACTATTTAAGAACTGTAAAGAAATAATAAAGATTATTACGATCATCCTTAATTGCGAGAAGTATAGTGTACTTACTTTGAAGTATTTCAAGACAAAACTGTCTTCAGGCATGGAAAGTTCTTGATCTAAACCGATTTCGATATGTGGAACAACTGCGATGCTCGAGCAAAGCCAAGCGAAGAACACTATCATAACAAATGCGCGTGTTCCTTTCTTCAACAACAATGGAACGTAAGCAACTTTGAAAATTTTATATAAAATTCCATTCACTACTTCCTCTCCAGTATCTTTCTTCGAACCACGGATGAAACAACATACATCCAATTTATTGTTCTACAAACATAAACAGTTGCAACTAATTGTTATTATAAGAGTATGTTTTGGATATAGGTTACATACCGCTTGGCGAACAGTATCCAAGGCCAATAAACTAACGAAACACGTTATTTGAAGTACGAAGTCTACCAATAATGCCATACCGGCGTACAGAGCAAAAGCTCTAACAGCAGGCATATCGGATAATCCACCTGGAAGAAGAAAATGGTTCTCAACATTCTTGAAGTCATGACTTTTATTCCTTATTAGTGTCTTAACTAGTAATCAGTGTCTACCTACCAAGGAAGAAGCAGCAACTTTCTGATACACTGGTAAGCAACATACTTGGTCCAACTTGGCCAAGGGTACGACCGATATGTTCAGGTATTGATTCATTTGGACGACGACCTTCTCTCTGATGAGTTTGGACCAGAATGAAAATATTGTCCACTCCAACAGCAAGGACAAGGAATGGTATGACTTCAATAATAATGAGTGTTGCAGGAATGCCAACGAAACCAAACAGTCCGACGGAGCAAACAACAGAGGCCAATACTATGAGTACACCGCCAAGGCCAAGAGTAATTTTAGAATCGATCTAAATATAGAGAGTGAGTGTTAAACACGTATTAGAAAAATCAACACATTTGCGAAATTTTGTTTACTATCATCCTTACCAACAACCTACTGCAGGTCTTAATTTGACCGAGGGAAATCGCGATGTACGCGAACATAATAATGTATGATACGAGGATGGTTAAAACATCTGACTGAGATTCTCTGTTCAGTTCATCCTCGATCGATCGTTCCGAGGTAAACGCGATGTCCATAAATGCCGGCTTTTTCGTCGCGGTCCAATTTTTCATAAATTCTACATAACTAAAATCAAAGTATCGTTTAAGTATTTTAGAGGTTATTCTTACATTTTAACTTACATTTCACTCACCTCTTTTCCCATTCCATTGCCGGACTCAGTTTGGATTTATTGTGATAGTTATTTACTAGTACTGTTAATATTATTGCAGTAGCTTTTTCATAGGAAGGATTGTGGAGATCTTGACCCGGTAACAGAAATCCGCCAACCGCGATCGCAGGTTCTATCGGTCCTCCATAAGGCGCAAGACATTCAGGATTGTACGCATTCCTAGAGTGAAATATACAATGAATTTCCTCCAGTAATTTTCTATTAAATTGAATGAAAAATCACTTACTGCGAACAAACTCTGAAATGATCCAAATAATTCACTGTAAAATTGTCATCGTCTACTGATGTAGAATCAAAATTGTCCATACTGTCTTGCCAATATCCCCAGATACTTTGAATAACACATTGCGAAGCTGTTGGTGGTCCAGTGAATGGACTAGTTAATGGAGCGAAACATATGTCTGCTAAAGTATAATTATTCGGAGTAACTATCTGTTTAATTCCTTCTTGTAACTGGTAAATAGTCTTCAGAAAAGTATCATTAAACACTGGACCAAATGTTATCGGGCCATTGGATGTATTGTGTACAATCTAAAAAAGTTTCATTGATTATTTCATATTTGTTGCATTCTTCTGAAAAACAATTTCATTAAACTTACATTTGGTAGCCCTACTGATGTTATAATTATTTGCTCGTTTCTATAGAACGGTTCAAAGTGCTGATCAAAATATTCTCGTTCGACCCGAGATCGAGATTGTGGGGCAGCCCATAATTCAACAGGGTCCGTGGTGACATGAATATATTTTATCCCATGTCCCAAACCAACGACGAACAGAAAGCCGACGAATAAAACAAACCATGGTCGTGAAGCACAGGCTGAAATTGGAATGTATTGATAATTTAAAACTGCAATGTCATGTGTAATATTATCGTGAATGACGGTGTCATACCTGTACCCCACCAGCAAAAGAATTCTGCTAATAACTTATCAGTGTTGGCGCCCAATCTTTCGATGAAAGTTGATGGTTGTTCTTCGTCGAATCCGCTCGGCAAATCATCTGCAGATATCACACCTATAAAAGTTTCGGCGTTACGAACGAGAAAGTTATGTATATATGACCAAAAAGTGCGGCAGTAAATGAAATAGACGGTAGAAGACGTGCTGTAAACAAGTACATTAAGCATTTATACATTCGATTGTATTGAAGAATATAACATAATAAAACAAGCTGCAAAAAAAAACATTGAGAAAACATAGAAAATTGATAACAGAAAGAGATCAGTTTAATATACAAAGCATGATAACTGTCGACCTCTGAACGAGAGAAGAAACAAAATACATATTCATATTTATAAAACATGTGTTTGAGGAAAGAAATATGAAACATAACAACAATGTTATGAATGCAAGTTACTTTGTGCAATGTAGAATCACTTAATACATAAAATGAAAGTATATCTCTTATAATTGATACTTTTTTTAAATATATCCTAATAATATATTCTACACAGTTTAGCATATGTGTTAGAGTAATACACAAAATAAGAGAAACAGCATTTAATTTAGAAAGTAAGTCAAGCCTATTAGAGATTTGGTAAGCATAATATAACAGTGAAGAAAAATATAATAACGAAAAAGTTAGGATGAAAGCATAAGTCCACATATTGAAGATACAGTTGAGAAACGTACTGGAACGCTTAGACTGAAGTGGACTGTCCTCCTGGTCAGCGGCGAGAGCAATTCGTGCACCATCTCCTGGATGATGTAACCCTGCAGCTAGACGTCTACCCACCTGCCTTCCTACTTCCTCACCTCGTGCAACTATACATATATGCATACCGTACATACAACTACAGAGACTAAATCCACTCATTTCAGTTTTTTACATTCTTTTTGTACAATTATAATGCCAAATTTATTATAAAAACAGGGAAATATGAAAGGCTTGTGTTTCTGATTGAAAATTTTTAACATTATTATGATATAATTGGTTGTCATTAAAATGATCACTGTTAACTGGTTTGATGTTATTTTCTGTGATTGATTTGATGGTTATTTATACTTTTATATATTATGTTATCACACAATCATAAGCCATTAAATTAAGAGAAAAAAAGAAAAACCAATGGTTATGAAATCAAACACCACAGTACAGAAGTTTTAAAGTTAATTCTTAAACCACAACCAAACAACAAAATCATATAGTAATAATATGATAACAAAAGTTATCCTGTAACCATAAGGAAGGTCAGTTACATGAATTAGAGATTGGGATAATTTATATTAAACTTTGCTTGTCGTTTTAAAATGGCATAATGAAAATCATGAAGAAAATTAATTAGTATTAAAAAATGAAAAAAAATATAAAAATATTGCTAAATAAAACAATCAAAAATTTAAAAAAAAATGCATTCAAAACAAAAATATGAGTGGCATAATAAAGTTTAGTCAATTTTCGGAATTAAAAATATATAAAAATTGCAGTATTTATGTTGTAAAAATACTTCTAAGCAATAATTCGGGTAAAAAATTCCCTTACCAATTTTCCTCCTATTACTGAAGCACACTATTGACAGGATGAAGAGAGCTGTACCACATATGAAAGTAATTATCATAACCACTGCATATCCATCGTAGCCAATAATGGTGAAGGGTTTTGGCAAAGGAGGTGCTGGTGGAGGCACAGGACAGCTACCTTCACAGTCTACACAGCTGCATGCTGGTGTATTTTTCTAAATTATTTTTGTAAATAAAACAGTTCTTTTAACTGATACAAAATACTATTTTATACCACATGATATAATGCTTACATTTAATGCCTTGCTGCAAGGAGTAACAACAGGATCTACAGGTGTAAATGAACCAACTGGTTCATCAGTATTTATGTATGTAATTTGGAAAGGTACATAGGCATTGTTTTCTGCATCACCCATGTAATGAAACCATTTTAATGGAGTACATCTACTGGCCCCCCATACTCCACACATTAGATCCATTGCTAATTGTCCAGTACTAGGTACTGAGACTTTACTACATGAATTGAAAGTACCTTCCAGATACTTATTTGTTATAAAAACATCTATTTTATTGACATATTCTATGCCTGTAGAAAAAAAGTATATTAACATATAATTCTTTAAATGAAAATAAAAAATATTAATCATTAAATTCAATTACCATTGTTTGTCTGTATGTCAGTAACATTAATAAAGGTGCTTTGTTTTGTACTACATGTAAATTCACAAAAATGCTTTACTAGATTATCTAAACAGCTAGGACATCTGCTTATAAAATTAGCAGCTAATTTAATATTTGAATCCATAGTTTTTAATTGGTTTGTATCACAGCAAGTATTAATCCCATTTCCAGAATCATTGATCAAGTGAGGACAATTTTTAGCAAGTATTTCTTGTCCTTCATTATCCAGTGGCTTAGGTGGTCCAATATAATGACAATTCTTTTTGTGCAGAAATTCATCTTTATAACATTCTCCATACCAAATACAATGGCCATTATCTGCTGCTGATACCTATTATCAGAAAGCAACGAATTCCAAAATGAATCTAAATGACTAAATTATAATTTCAAAATATATTTAATATAAAATTTAATTTTATTAAAAGGTTTTTTCCTAAAAGATATTTATCAGAAATATATTAGACAGATTATATATGTTTAATTAAGTCATCATATCTATTACACATCCTCCATTCATGAGATATGAGTCATTACTTTTTATTATAAGAGCATACACAAAGGCAATTACATTCCGATTATGTGATAAGAATGGGGACAAATATTAAGTGGTCATTATTGCAAATTATCTTTGTCATTATAAAGAAAATCAAAGTAACAAAAGATGTTTATTTATATCATTGTTCGATAACGAAAATATTATTTGCAGAAATTTCCTGAGATGTTCAAAGAAATTTTATTGCGTCATTTGTTTACGCATTTTTTAATTCTACTATATATTTGCGCTGTTAAATTTTCCTCGCGTTTTTCGTGAAAATTGTTCAATCAATCAATATTCTTAATGAATATATAACGTATGGAAGGTGGGAACAGTGTCTGTTGCATCAATATAAACAAGTCTAGTATAGGTCAATAATACAGGTGTAAAACAGTTGAAAGTAACTTTCTCACGTCCCTTTTAAGCGGGAAAATCAACTTTAATAGGAGTCAAAAAATCAGTGTTAACCTCGCCCCAACAAATAAAGCTTAAGTAGGAATTATATTGGCTAATGTGTCCCTTTAACGGATGAGGCGAAAGTATAATTAAATTTAATAGACATCTTCGGCTGAGCGTGACGGCGGGAGCGTCATCGGCGATAGGCTTTCACGAGAATCAGCCTACGTGACGTCACAAATGTGAGACGTTTCACGACGACATCAGGGTGTGGTGTAAAGCTAAATCACTCGTAAAATATTTCTAATAGTTATAACAATGCAGATGATTAATTTACCTTAGAAAAAGTACTGCAGACACTTAGCACAAGTAATATCACGCTAATGCGTGACATACTAACGTCTGTCAAAGTCCGGCGGTGACCTCGAGGAAACACAAACCAACGCATAGCGCGTGGTAATAAGCGCAGTTGTTATCGAACGATTTTACTTTTATCGTAATTCGATGTTAATTCAAAGATATAACGCGGTTACTTATTGCACGTGTTATCCACATCGATGCGATCTAAATGGATAATTCAAAACGGAGACAAAAGCGGCGAACGATCGCGTTTTACTAAAGAATTAAACGCCACTAGCAATGCTCTGAGACTACGAGCGGTATACAGCGCGACGGCGATGTCAGTAATCACAGCCTAACCGCATCGAATGATTCAGCCTCGTTCGGCCGTGTTCGGAACTGTTCGGCTCCGATCGTCCTAATGAGAATGAAATTTTGAAATCTATTCTCGAGTCAAAAAAAATTGATAGCAATGCAAATTAATAAAAAAATCAGTGAAGACAACTACTGGTTTCCGTTCACAACACCGAATGATCATCACTTAATTAATTATTAAACATGTATGCATCGATAGATGCGTTGCCGTATAAAAACACATCATTGTATAAGTGTTTGTAAAAGATTATGATTTTTGTTTTCAACAATTCCCTCTATAGGAATTGAAACGCTGTTTCCAACATTTTTTCCTCGCACGGATCGATTCATAATGTATCAGGTAGTAGTAGCCGTTTCGACGTAACACGATTCAAATGTATTTGTATGTTTAAGCTGGGACAGCAATCTTTCCAAATCTTTACTATGGATTTATTCGTCGCGACAGAATCAACGTTTCGAAATACGAAAACATCAAGATCGGATGGTATTCGTTGAAACACGAGATTAAACTTCCAAGATTAGCGCTGAATTATGCAATTTAAAATCTATCAATAAGGTTAAGGTCATGTCACTAAGAACATAATAACTATAATATGTAAACTTGTATTTTATGCTAAGGTATGCAAATATGATAAGCTGCATTCCGTCCGTTCCAATGATATTCTGTTTCAGTTGTTCGATTCCAAGAACGGAATTCCAGCCTGGTGATACGTCAAAGTGCTAAAACTGCATTTTACAGTTATAGGTAGTCAAAGTAAATATTTTCAATATTGAATTAAAAATAGAACGTAATCAGTAAAATTGAGTCATAGAATGAAGCTTTACGACGTATGATTCTTTGATGGTTCAGACAATGCATGCAAAGAGAAAAATAACAGGTTGTTGCTTCACAAGGTAACTGTTCAAATAAATGCTAATTTGGGCAGTAAGTAGGTGTTGCACTTTATCCGGTAGAACTGCGACTGCAGATCACGTAACGCATTACGTCTATTGTGAAAGGTTATATTTAAAATCCTCCTGTCTTTCTATCTCTGAAAAAATAGTGTAATAAACAATTGCACTAGTAACAATTATAACTTTATTCTGTGATTAAAGGAATTACGAGCGTGATTCAGTAAATATTTGAATTGCTATGCATCTCGTTACGAATGATGTACAGTTTTCCTCGATAATTATTAGCAAAGAAACTTTTCGAGTCAAAGGTCCAATAAAAAAGGCATAATGTAAACAAAAATAAACGAATCATCGATGCATTGATACAGAAAAACCGTTCAAAGTCGACTGATCAGACATCTAGTAGTTGTGTATGAAATTACAAAGACAGACATATTGTGAGATTCCTTGTAAATTAAACATCGGGAAGAATAACGTGCTGGATTATCTAAACATCTTGCGACATAGTTTTCTATTCGTTGATAAACGAGAAACACTTCTACAACATCAGTTGCACCGATGAAACTACATTCTTTTTCTTTTCGCTTTTTACGACGACGTTTCGTAAGTATATTTTTCTTTCAGGCGACACACGAGTCGTATGCTTCTTATTTCCTCCACTAGATGTCGCAATATTCATATCCAAATTATGGAGGTAAAAATGAAACGTGTTAACCTTCAAACCATGATAATTTTCATTTTTTCAATTTTGAACATAACACTGACGAATAAAACATCCTGAAACGATGCTAAATATACTTTTCACGTGCGTCATACGAAAGCGATTGAAATGTCCTATCATCGTCACATGTTACCGAAGCATTGCGTTAAAGAAATATTTCTTTTTCACTATAAAGCCGACGGAACCACAGCGATGTCTGAATACGGTCAATCTGGAGCGTTTAAAACCGGATGTGGTGTTAAGCGAAGAGAACCGGAAGCAGTTCATCGAGAAATTCAAAGCACGTAAAATGCCGGATTTGGAGAAGAGCGATCAAGCTGCCGTGTTGGTGCCATTATGTTTACACAAAGGCGAACTGGGTTTCTTATACACTTTAAGGTCCGTAAAGTTATCTTCGAATCGGGGTCAAGTTTCGTTTCCCGGTGGAATGTTCGACAAGAAAGAAGATAGGGATCTTCAGGAGACCGCGTTACGAGAAACCTGGGAGGAGCTTAATATTCCAAGGGAAAAGGTCGATGTTTGGGTATCCGGCAACATGATCAATAAGCAAAACCTCAAAGTCTTGCCCGTCTTTGGTTACATCGGTGAAGTCGAACCCGAAAAGCTCAAAGTTAATAAAAACGAAGTTGAAGAAGCTTTCTTTCATAGTCTGAGGAACCTCTGCGACCTTTCACTGTGTAGATTCACTCAATTCCGCGACGGTTACACCTTGCCCGTTTATTTAGGGGGGAAGCATCGTATCTGGGGCTTCACTGCTGTCATAACGCACATGGCTTTAAATGCTTTGGTACCTGATGCTTATAAGCACACGTTCGCTTATTTGCAACCAGTTTTGCCAAAGAAACAACAGAGCAGCCATTAATAGTATTGTATTCGATTTTCTACTTAACTGTATGCTTTGTTATGATTATTACTGTATAAAATTGAAAAAAAAATCGTGATTCTTGTTCATCTAATTATAATTGCAATTCGAAACGAGTTCAGCGCCACGTAGTTTTCGTGGCGGGAATTAACCTGTTTTCCTTGAAATATCGCGCCGTGGTGTACAGTAAAGACTTATGTAAATAAGTAAATATGAAGCCAGACTTAACGCAATAGAAAGAAGTAAGTTATATTAACATGGCAGTTGTGGTTGAAACTACAATTGGGGATTTCACTGTTGATCTGTTTACCGAAGATCGGCCACAAAGTAAGTACGATTGGAGGTTATGTTTTTCCTATTGTAATAAAAGTTAATTTACGTTTTATGATATTAATGTAAATGATGTTCCACAGCATGTCGGAATTTCCTAAAATTATGCAAAATAAAGTACTACAACTGGAATTTGTTTCATTCTGTTCAGAGCAATTTTATTGCTCAGACTGGAGATCCCACTGGTACTGGGAAAGGAGGAGAAAGCATTTATGGAATAGTATTAGGTGAAAAGGCACGATATTACGAGGCAGAACAAATGCCAAAGATAAAACACGATAGAACTGGTTTGTTGTCTATGGTTAATTGTGGTAATAACATGTTGGGGTCACAATTTTTTATTACGCTTGCACCTGAGTTGCAATCCCTCGATGGGGAACACTGTGTATTTGGTGAAATCACAGAGGGTTTAGAAATTATTTTGAAGTTCAATGAAACCATCTGCGATGGAGATCACAGACCTTATCAGGATATACGGATTTCTCACACTGTAATTTTGGAAGATCCGTTTGAAGATCCAAAGGATTTTATAGTACCTGATCAAAGTCCACCTCCTACAAAAGAGGTTCTAATGGTACGGTATATTTTCTTACTTCCATAATTTCTTACTTCCATCAACTACTTTTTAATCACACATAATTTTGTAGAGTGATAGAATCGGAGCAGATGAAGTAATAGATGATACAGCAGGCATGACAATCGAAGAGATCACAGAAATGCAGAAGGAGAAAGAAGCAAAAGCAAGGGCTACCATATTAGAAATCGTGGGTGATATTCCTGATGCAGATATGGCTCCTCCTGAGAACGTACTCTTTGTCTGTAAATTGAATCCTGTCACAACCGACGACGACCTCGAAATTATCTTCAGCAGATTTGGAAAAATTATTGGGTATACTTGAGTACAAATATTATGTTTAGAAAAGTTCTTCTGCAGTGACTCATTTTATCTTCTGCTGCAGGTGTGAAGTTATCAGAGACAAACAAACTGGAGATTCCTTACAGTACGCGTTTATCGAATTCGCAGAACGGAAAAGTTGTGAGGAAGCATTTTTTAAAATGGATAACGTGTTGATCGACGATCGTCGTATACACGTGGACTTCTCGCAATCGGTTGCCAAAATGCGATGGAAAGGAAAGGGCAAAGGGATACAGTACTTTGACGAGGAGGATGAGGAAGGTCACAATAAAGACACAAGAGGCAAAAGAAAAAACGACTTCAGAGGTAACGAAACGAGAAGTCGAAGGGAATTTGATAGGAGGAACAAGGAGGAAATAGTAGAACACAGAAAACACGAACGCAGAAAAGAAGTTAAAGGAAATTCTGATTATTCCCGTAACGGAGAAAGATATGCAGAGAAGGAACATTATAGGGAAGAAAGGTATCCTGATAATTCGCGGGAAAAATACGAATACGATTCTAGACGTAAGAAAGAAAGGAGACGAAGAAGTAGAGATAGAAGCAAAGACAGGACCAGAGACAGTAGAGACCGAAATAGGGAAAGGAGTAGAGATCGAAATAAGAAGGAAAGTCATAAAGAATATAAACACAAGAAGAAATATTCTAATGAGAAGAAAAGGAAAGACAGAGATAGTTCAAGTACCGATAGCGAAGATTCAAGACACGAAAAACATAAAGAACGTCACTCGAATCACAAGAAGAAACGTAATAGGGAACGATCGATGGAAAGATACGAAAAGTACAAACAAAAAAGAAAATAACTGTAAATAATTTCTACCTATCCCAAGAAATTGTATGCATATAAAATGCATAAGTGCACGTAAATCTATTTTGTAAAATAATCGCTTCATTTTTTATGCAAATAAAGTCATTACTCGATTTATTATTTGATCATTCATTTGTACAGCGTGGATATCGACAAAAGTATCGATATTATCGAAACAGTAGCCAACCGGAAATGCACGTTACTGCGTCGGTAAATTTTCGGTTGAAAATTCGCGGTAGTAGCGAATAGAGGGCGACTGCATTCGGTGGTACGCGGTGCAGCATCCTAACAAAATGACGTTTCTGTCATTTAGAAAGTACTTTTATTTATTGTTAATTGTGCATTTATCGAAGTTCTAGTGAGTGTAAACCAACAACATCTTAATAAGCTGTAATTACTGGTAAGTGTTCAACCATAAATTTATCATGTTTCAATGTAGCTTGAGGTTATGTTGATTACACGAACTTGAATACTATTTTCTTTCAACAGAATAATTTTAAGATTATGATTACTTGCTTACGCTATAAGATTACGTAATCTTAATCGCGATACGTAAGAGCAATTTGTGTTATGTTTATTTTTCTCACGTGACGATCGAACACGTGTACTTTGTACAGTATGCGCGCTGTTCCAAATCACGAAACGTTCAGATTCCAAGTTGTCATTGCATAATAACCATGCTCGCGCAATGTCCCTTATTTTAATCAATTTCCCGTAATTACGTGGATAAAAATTTGGCGAATAGATCGAGGAAAGAGAGCCGCCCAAAAACCCATTCGTTTCCACGTATAGTTTATTTCGAAGGATTGCGAGAAACTGAGTGTTTAGTAATAGTAACAGATAAGTGGATGTATACGGTACACACGATTACAATCTTTTTATTGTTGCTATCGTTCCGTTACATTATTACGAGTTACGCGATGATGCAACGTTTGTTGTCTTTCGTGTATCATTCAATGTTTTGATATTGCACAACGCTGCAATAACTTCATTCGATTCAACTTGAAATCAAAGCGGTATCTTGTTGAAAGATATTACAATATAGAATAACATTTTGCCGAGATACGTTGTACGACAGATTTCGCGTGGATACATGTAGCACATGTTTAAATTATAAATAGTGAAAATAACGTGTCCGTAGAAAATAATCGACGTCTAGTCGCGTATAAAATACAATTCAGAATGGTGGGGGTGAGCGTTAATAAAAAGTAACGATAGGTGGGGGGCTAAATAAATAAAAAAGGACGCATAAAAAGATTACGTTTCTTTTCACGAAACAAATATAAATAATTTATCGAAGGGTGCAGGCGGCCTCTCTTTCCCTGTCTATTTTAGTAAATTATCAACGTTTCCTTAACGTTGAAAAATATTTTGTCGAGGAAAGCTTTTTCACTAATAAGAATACGTTTCCTTGCTGTTTCTCTTTTTTATATCATATTCATTTATTTTTGTACTCATTTTTACGCTGTTAATTTTAGGATAGATAACAGTAGTTTAATATTCTAATTTTAAGTCGCATGCAATTTTAGAGAGAGAGAGAGAGAGAAGAAGAAAATTATAAGTGGCGATTTTACAAATTGTATACCTAGAATTTACATGCAGTTTATTTTATTAACGTCGGTTTTGCTTTCAAAGATTAATGATCTCGAGAATATCGAAGCCTCGGCCCTTGCACCCTTCTCACTTAAAGCTAACGAATAAATACCTATCCGCCATTTCGATTTTCGATCGATGGCTGGTCGAGGACACTCCACTCTGAAATAAGATCGATGCTTTTCATTCTCTTTTTCTTTCGTCGCGTGTTTTCGAAACGAGAAAAAATTGTGCAATCGTTCAGAGATATAAACGACGAATGCAATAAAAATCGTATCAAAAATGATAATAAAGCGTTTAAATCATCTTCTTATCCGTATACTCACCACGTTGATAGAGCCGCACGCTCCGTGTTATTTCTTTTTTTATAATTTTTATATTTAAGTCTTTGGATAATTTTTTCCCATCCATCAATTTCACAATTTTTCCTACGTATTTAAACAAATTGTACATATTTCGTCATCGGGGATCTCGAGTGAATTTTCAAGTTTCTAGAATATTCATGACAAGAATGTTTGGTAAAATACAGAAGTGTCCTCGAACGTATGAAATTACGTATACTATAGAATACTAACGAGCGAAACGCGTGTGCCTCTTCCTCACCGTGTTGCTCGGTGCATCATCGATGATTCTTTCGATAATCGGGACTCCGAGCCAGTCGGGGTCCTCTCGACTCTCGATCGAGGTTAAAAAAACGGAACAAGAAAGAATCTATCAAAATGATCGGTGTGTACAGAAAGGGCAACAACGTTTGTTCGAAGAACGGAGTCGTTCGTGAATTTTCTAAGCTTCCTAAAGGTCTCGAAGGTTCCTAGAAATTCCTAAAGATGGTCGACGTCTCGGGAGCTGTCGGAGCTGAAGCGATTTTCCAGCAAGTAGGAGTCGAACGTTCATGACTGTTCGCGTTTCGGCCGATTGGAAAATGCGTCCATTTTTTTTTTCTGCACTCGTATCCCGTTCTCGGTGGCCCCTGGTTCCCGTTGCACGCGGGTTTCGCTTCGTTTTTCGAGGCAGAGGGTGCACCGCGCTAGAGGCTCTCGACCATTCTCTTGACGTGGTCGTCGTCCGCGAACCTTTCGTTTAATTACATTTTAATTGTGTAGCTGCCGCTTGCGCCCCATATTGCAGATCTTGAAGTGGCACAGTGTCATATCTGAAGCACACAAAAATACCAAAGTCAAATACCCACTATTGTAATAAAATATTACGGAATAGGTTATGTATTTAGAACACTATTATTTTAAATAGAACTGCACTTGTGTATTGCACGAGGCCTAGACGAGGTAGAGGTTTAGAACACTATTTAATGTAGAACATCACTTAAATTATATTAAACAATATCTGTCAATTATGCTCGTGTTGACATGCTCTCAATTGACGCACTTCCTTGTTAGACACTTACGATTACCAACTTCCTGTAAAATTATAAGTGTTGCCAATATTGAAGTACAAAAAGAAAAGATAAAAATCTATGCGCCCTCTCGCAAAATAAATACATACATACAGGTCAAAATTTTACATTGTAAATCTGATTCAAGGCTTCAAAAGAAGTGTCAGCTAAAAACCATACCTTGATTTTCTAGTGTCTTGAATGATGAAAAGACACTAAACGAAGAAAAGGTTTACGAGTTCAGGGAATTCGAAAGAATTCTAATTGTCGAACCGCCAGTTTCGCGATAGAGAAATTTGTCTGACGCCGATCCTTAATCGAACGTTCAATCTTGACAGTATCACAGGGTGGGGATCGATTACGACTTGTTTTTCAACGAAAGAATCGAGCCTGACGTCACGTGAATCAAAAGTCAATTGGCGTAATCGATTGGTTTGCGCTCGGTTTCTTCTCTGTTCGACGAAATCCTTGAACCCGGGCTAACCAGGAACGAAATCTCCAATTACGATCATGTAACCAGGTCTGAGCGTTCCTGTACCAAATACGCGCGAAAGAATGTAACATGGCGGCGGAAGGGCGCGAATTTCAAATTAAATTTACAAGTTCGATATTAAAAGTTCTAAATATTCAAGAATAGTAATACTAACAGTGCAACAATAGTTTTAACTGTTATATTTAATAGTTAATACTGAAAAATAATAAATGATAAATACTGTAGTATTATTAGTAATTTGAATAGTATTAATATTGTAGTATATTAATAATCTAAGTAGTATTAATGTTGTAGTATATTAATAGTCTAAGTAGTATTAATATTGTAGTATATTAATAGACTAATATATTCATAATTTCTGACGAATTTAACTGACGAAGTTAAAATAGTTTTAACTATTATATTTAATAGTTAATACTGAAAAATAATAAATTGTAAATACTGTAGTATTATTAATAATCTGAATAATATTAATATTGTAGTGTATTAATAATCTAAGTAGTATAATTATTGTATATTAATAATCTAACTAGTATTAACATTGCAGTATATTAATAGACTAATACATTCACAATTTCTGACGAATTTAACTCGTACTTAATTCTCTCCATCTTCAAATTCCGAAATACGAAACGTCCGTAACTTTTTCTTCGAAAACAGATATTAAAGTTATGTATCGAGAACAAAGAAGAATAAATTGCTTTCCAAACAACGAAGTATCAGAATCGTACGTGGCATTTGATCGAGTGTTACCACAACGAAAGGGTCGAGACTCGTCTTAAGGGAGCTCCCGCCGCGAATAACTTGGATTTGCTCCAAGTTTCTCATTCGAATCTGATCGCCAGGCGAGTCACGCACGGATTTCCAGTATTCTCCACGTAATCGCGAGAAGCAGGAGCGGACAACGAGAGTCGGTTTCAAAGTTGCGACCGGCTTCCGGATCCGCGGTTTCCCTTTTCCACGGTGTGGTGAACGTTCCACGCTTCCGAAGTCCGGCCGCGTGCCGGCGTAGGCGAGTTAATCCGACACGAGTAATAGGAGAAAATGCAAGCGAATACCGCTTTCTTTCGGGGAGCTTGATTAGATGCTCGAGGGAAACGAGGGTTAAGTTATTGTTGCTACGAGCTAATGATGTTTGATGGGGTGTATGGGGAGATTTTGGATTTTTTAAGTTTTGGAAATTTAGGGATTTGAGTAGTTGGTTTTTTGAAGGTTTAATTAGAATTGCAAATCCTATGTTCCAAAATTTCAAAATTCTCAAATTCTCAAATTCTCAAATTCCAAAGCTCTCAAAATCCAAAACTCTCAAATTCCAAAATTCTCAAATTCCCAAATTCTCAAATTCCAAAATTCTCAAATTCCAAAACTCTCAAAATCCAAAACTCTTAAATTCCAAAACTCTTAAATTCCAAAATTCTCAAATTCCAAAACTCTCAAATTCCAAAACTCTCAAATTCCAAATTCCCAAATTCCAAAACTCTCAAATTCCAAAATTTCCAACCACAATCTCTCCAAATCCCAATTTCACAAACTCAATATTCTAAAAATTCTCGAATCTCCAGATTTCCAATTAAAAATTATGCAATCACTTACAACTAATCGCCGTGCGTTTTCCGGATCGTGGACTAACGATAGCATTCGGCGTCGGAAGTTCCTCGACCGAGATGTAGTCCCCAGGCCTCGTCTTCGCCTTCGCCTTTGCCTCCAGCACTGACTCAATCATCATTTGCATGTCGTCCAAAGCTTTTTCCCTCTCCATTATATCTTTCTTCTCCTCGATCACCTTCTTTAGTTTGTTCAACAATATCTGTAAACAATCAAACAGACGTTCTCCGTGAATTTTTAGCGTTTTTGAGAGATCAAAGACGCTGACAGAGAGTGTCACCCCTGTTTATTCTGGTGCAAGATACAAGTGTAGATACTGACTAGATTTTCGGCGTTGTTGGCGTAGCCTTCGCTGTAGAGCAGCTCCGAGGGAATCGGCTCTGGCTCTCCAACGACGAACAGGTTGTCGCTGGAGAGGCAGGACAACAACAGTGCCAGTAGACACAGGCTCGTCCGTCTTGTGCTGGACCTTCCCGTCATTCCCTTGATCCTCTTTTTCGCTGCAAGCAAATCGAATTGTTAGGAAAATCTTCACAAGCTGTTATTCAAAGGATTATTTCGTTCACCAGCTCTAAAGAATTCCACCCCCTACGGAAACAGGAGGTTTCTACAAGAAAACCTTGCAGTATCAAACTTTATCGAGCTTGACAAATTAAAATTGATTAAGGGGGCAATACCTTTAGACAGATGAAAATAAGCTGATATTTGTGAATTTTTTTTATAGGACACCTTTGTTTTGCATTTTCGAAATTTCAGCTATAATTTATTATAACTATTGCCTATTACAGAATATTTTCTGTTTTGCAAAATATTTCAAAATGCCGGAATTATGACAATCCTTTCTGGAAGTGTTTTGGCGCGTCTCGCGAATCGGCGTGGGTTCCAGCGGAAGATATACTGGTTTCAGCAAGTTTGCAGACAACGTTTCGAAAACTAACATTCACAGTTAGTAGATG